GGACTTTGTCTCATCAAACAAAAGGCACTGCAGGGATAATAAACTGACTTTTTAAGCCAAGAAACACACATACCAGTAAAGTCAAGTTCCTGGAAATCTATTATAACTCAGAACTGCAAAGGTATCTGAAGTGTCATTTAGAATTTTTCAAAAAGTGAATTGAAAAGGCAGGCAAAATTGTCTCTTGCATGAGGACACAGACAACATACAGTCAGATCTTTCCCCCTGTCCCTTAACTGCATCTGATAGTACCTTTTGAAGTTCTCCAAAGAGATGGCAGAAAGGCAAGAGCAGAGAGAGGAACACATGTGACACAGAAGCAGCCAGCTATGGTCCCATCCCCAGATTCATACAGTTTAGAAAAGCAATTATAGTACTGGAATCTGAACTGTAGAAATATACATTCAAAATGGATGGAAAATGACTAAGCTTGTTTTTCTACCACAAAATGCTACTCAGTTGCAGTTTCTCTGCAACTCCACCAGCATGAGCAGCAGGCTAGTTCTTTGTCATTCGCAAATTTAGCATTTATTTTATCGTGCCATATGTAGTCAAGGGAATTCAACTAGGAGAGGCAGGCTCTGCTCCATCCTGTTCACCCTCTACCTTCACAGAGGAAGGAAGATAAAGCAAGAGAGGAAAAGGTGAAAAATAATGCTCTGGATAGAGTTTAGATGCAGTGAATATCATCTGGGTCATTTCATGTTACATACTGTCCACTCCTGCTTTTACTTTGCCAGTTACTTTCAGAGTTGAACACTGGGGCTGCTTATCAGCAGTGCTGCAGGGAAGCAGCATAGCACACAGAAAACAGCACAGGAAGGCACCAAAGAAGAAACTTCCCTGCCAGTAACAGGGCAATCCAAGCAGAAGCTCAATCCAAGAAACAGCTCGTGGCTCAGACAGGGAAAGCTCTAGAGGAGATGCCAGTGGCCTCCAGAGTGCAGCTGCTCGCAGAAGAGAGGGAGGGACGAGTAAATAAAGTGTGAGGCAGGATCCCTCCCACCCTCTCTTATTCAAATAAATCACTTAACTTTTCAGGGAGCAGCAAATCTCCTTACTCCTCTGGATTAAAGGCAGACTTAAAAGAATGTTTGTTAACAGACTACCCTCTCCGAGGGTCATTCCTGATGCACACCAGCTAACCACATGCAGAAAACTAAGTTAAGGGCATTGTTACTTAAAAATGAAAAGTTTATTTCTAAATAAAACAATACCTTTAAAGACAATTAAAAAGTGCACTGGATGTGGGATACAATTTTAGTTTTGCTTCTATGGAGCCTGACGAACATTAGACAAGTGTCTGTGGCATAAGAATATCTCTTTGAAACATGGCCTTTTTGCCATCCTCTAAGAGGTGAAATGAAATTCAAGGTCTCAGGGCTCCTTGCTTCCTTGCTCAGGGCAAGGAAGAGACAGCAGGACAGTCATTTCAGAAGACAAACTTTAGGCTACTCACTGACTAAGGGAGCTGAGTCCCTATGGAATTCCCACTAAAATGTCAAGAAGCAATGATATTTTATCACAGGACCGGGTACGTTTCTGAAGATTCCATTTGCCTGCCTACATGTTTTTCGTAATGATCACTCCATTAAAAGAGGGAAAGTTAATAATAAAAAATAAAGGCTAATTTGCATTTCACTACATTATATCACAGAGCTAAGTAGGTAATTTTAGAAATAAGTTAAAATATATTACATTAATGAACAATACCCATTACAAAAAATGTTCAGTACAAGAGGAGGAAGAAAGTGGAGTGGAGGAGAAATGCTTGTTCCAGGGAAATAAGTCCGATGAACAGGCCCATACCACACAGATTCTAGGGAAAAGAAATAGTCAACAGGGTGAGCTACTTTGTCAATATGTTTTTTAGTAAGAAATACTAACCTTCAAGAATCAAAGAAACAAGAGGAATCCCCTAAAAAAATTGCATATTTTATAGATACAAGCTGCTTCAGTCTGGCATGGAAACCAGGTCTAACCCCAAAATGCCTTCTTCAGCTTGGATGAAACTCCAACATGATGACATCAAGGAACTCCAGTATCATCTGTAAACTGACATGTTTTACAACTAAAGAACATGAATGCTACAAATGCTTTCCTGAAACTCAGCCTCCAGGTGACCTACTCTCAGAGCCAGAATTTTTTCCTAAAGATAGCGAGACAGATGCTGCTGCTGGGTGTGGAACATAAATCCACTGACTCAAACCCTGCTGTGGACTGGCTCACAACATCAGGGCAGACACAGTACAGGTGGCACACACTCTCCTTACACCTTCTGCGCCAAATCTCCACCTTCTAAGTCTACAACAAACCTATCATTAGCATGAGGAAGTAAAAATCCCTGTGTCCATAGGCATCCCAACCAACAAAACACTTTTGCTGATTTGCTAAAACATGAAAACACAGAGAAGGCTCAGGGAAGCTGCACTTTGGCACACTGCAGGTATAGCATGTCTTGTCTCATATCTTCACACCAAAGCAAACTAGCAAAATGTGAGTTAAATAGCTGACCTTTGTGTTACATCACAAGCTGCTTGTGAGGACACCAAACTTCCTCCTAACATTCTTGTAAGTGCTCATTTGTATTGTAACAAAAGGAAAACATTGTTCTGATAGTTTCCTTAATATAGACACCAACAAAATTCTAAATAATAGCATGAAAGTGCTTTATTCCCTGCTTTCCCCAAGCCAACAAACTTCAGAATATGTATAATAGTAATTTCATCTTCCTGGTGCTTTTTCCATTTCTTTTCTTTATGTAAGTCAAACCTGTTTCAAAAGAAAAACATAGTTTCAACACATACCTCCCAGCAAGTCTTACAATTATTTTCAGAAAGCCTGATAATAGCTCAGTATGAGTAACACAAAAATAAAAAAGTTCATATCTGGCAAAATCTGAGTTTGTCCATATTTTCTTCTTTTTCTTTATTCTTCAATGCTTTGCCTTTGGAAAACAAGGCAATTTTGGTAGCACTGCTTTCCTCTCAGCTTCTCCACAGCGAGCATTTTGAGATCTTCGGGTTACAATGAACCTCAATTTTGGAACATCATATACATAATTCTGGAAGAGGGTAGTAACACATTCCCTAGTTCTCTCTAACAAGTACCACCTTTCCCTTAGATCTGCTCCACCAGCACTAGAGCTTGCAAGGGAAGGGGATGAGACAAAAACCCGAAATCAACAAAACAGAAATAAACAAAGTAAACAACAACAAAAAATCTACTAGAGACAAAGCAAAAGGGCAACTTCTTTTCACATAGATAACAACAGGAACTGAAAAAGCTAGTGACTTTTTTACACCTCCCAATTAACCAAGCTGCTCAAAGCTCAAGAGGGAAGAGCAACAAGTACATGAAAACAATCCTGCTATGTTCTGCTTTCATGACCATCAGAGCCATTTACTTTATCTCCAAACATTCTCTCACATCAGGTTTCATCAACAGGGTCAATGAAACCTTCACTTTCCAGCAGCCACATTTTTCTGGCCCAGCAGTCTCAGGTGAAGCTCATAGGATGCACACACCTGGGAGCCAGAGAACCTCCCTTTGTCACCAACTTGTCACATTTGTCACTTTGTCATTTGCAATTACATTTACTTGCTGAAAGTAAATTTCACACAGAATTTCACTGAAGTTGAAAATAGCAGCATGTAGTTATTTTGGTAAAGAAGGGCTTTTTAAGGAACTATTATAGTGGCAGAACAATTAGAGCTTACTTTTAAATATTTAAACTTACAGTTCATGGGGAATTTGCTCAGTAACCTATTCAATTCTTTATTAATCCGAGGAGAACAATCCAATTTAAAATTCTTTAAGTCTCTCATTAAAATCTCTCTTTAAATCTCCCATTTCAGCATCCCCAATGATGTAACAACCTTTTAAATAAAGCTAGTGATTGCTCATTAACAATGTGAAGCCTTCACTGCAGTTTTTGCAACAGCTTTTTGGGGAATTCATATATGTCTGAAGAGACTATGGAGAACAACTTGTAGTCTGAAAGGGCTAACTTAGTAACTTTAATAATCCCTGAGTTGGTAGCAACATGGATGGCCAGACATGCTCAAGACTTAGAAGCAATAACAGGAAGAAACCAAATACTGAATCCTGCACCCAGAATCCTTAAGGAAAACAATGTGCCTACCGATAAAGGCATCAAGTGCAAGGACATGCCTTGCCTCTGCAGCTACTCCCACTGCCAGCTGGATGCATCCAAAGGAACACTGCCTTTCGCCTGACTGGCAAGGCTACAACCAGGTCCCGATCAGACACCCTCTAAAGTAAATACAATTATATGAGTGAGTCAGGGCAACAAACCATTTGGAGAGCCCAGAGGCTAGCCAATGGAAATTTTTTTTTTCTTTCAGTTTGGAGCCTGTGGTCTTCAAGCGTCTCCCCAAACTGAAAAGCATTTTGGGAGATATGCGACCAGAGCCCACCAGCGAGCACGAGGGTTGTCAGGTCCACAGGAAGGTGCCCCAAACCCCACATATCTCACCATTCATGAGCAGCGGGAAATATTTACACACGCACAAACCAAACCGGGTTTCCTACCAAAATCCCTTTTTATTCCAGGGTCAAGGACCGAGAAGGCTGTTCAGTACCCGGAGGGTATCCCATCCTTGGCCCCTGCGCCCCCGGAGCCGTCACTACAGGTAGGGCAGCCCGGTGCTGCCCCTGGCCATCCTTCGCCGACCCGGGTACCGGCACTCCCGCGGGGACTTTCAAGGGCAGCTGACCGTCTGCATCCCCGGGCTCCCACAAAGGAGCCACCCAGGTACAGAGCTACGGCCAGGGCCGGACACACGGCGCCGGGGATGCCGCTCCCCTCCCCCGGCATCGTCCCCCCGCCGCGCAGGCCCGGGGCTGCGCTGCCCCCGCCTCCGGCAGCGCCGGCACCGGCCGGGGGCTCCTCGGCATCGCCGCCCTCGGCGCCGGAGCGCCCGGAGCGCGGGCAGTGCGCTCGGCCGCGCTCCACCTGCCCGCCGCCGCGTACTCACTCCGCGTAGCCCGTGGTCCAGGGCAGGCGCCGGGTGTCCTTGCTGAGGATGAGGATGGGGCGGGCGATGTGGTCGGCGGAGCACTCCACCTCGTCCGGGGACAGTCCCAGGAACTCGGGTCTCCCGTAGGGGAAGCGGAGGGGCAAATCCGCGCCGCTGCCGTGGTCGGCGCCCGCGCTGCCAGCCATGATGCCGCCCATGAAATTGGCCACGGCGGACTTCACCCGCGTGAGCATAGTACCCCCGCCGGCGGCGGCGGCGGCAGCGCCGGGGCCGCCGCGCAGGGCGGGGAGCGGGGCNNNCAGAGGGCCCCGCCGCGCTCCCGCAGTGGGGGCGCCGGGCCGCGCGGAGCCGGCGAGAGGGCGGCGGGCTCAGGGGCAGCCGCGGGGCCGAGGCCTCATTGCAGGTTTCCCCCTCCCGGCGCGGCGCTGGGTGAACTCAGCCCGGCGGCAGCGGCTGCTGAGTCATGTGATAGCGCGGCTGGATTCGCCCGGGCGCTTCCTGCTCCTCCTGCGGCACCGGCGGGCTCCTGGCACACGCCGGGCACGGGCGGCCGCCGCCCCCGCCCGCCCACCCGCGCC